CTTGAACCACAGGTGCCATCATCAAAATGTATTTCTTTAGGCCCAGCACGTAGGATTTTAGAGTGAGCCCAGAGTTCAGTAGTCAATTATAACCTTAGACTCTTTCACTTGCAAGTGTTAGCATGAAAATTGCTCAGAGCAAATGGAAAATTTACCAGTTCATGTAACGGGAAAGCCGTAGGGTAGAAACATACTCCAGGCATGGCTTGATCCCGAGGTTCCAATGACATATGCAGAATCCAGTTTCTCTCATTGTCTTTTGGTTCTGCTCTCTTATTTTTGCCCTGTTTCACAGCCAGGCCCCTCTTTCATGGGTGTTGTTAACTCCAAGCTCACATCCTTGTACGTTTAGTAGAAAGAGACTATCTCCCTGGAAGCTCTTGCATGAATCCCAAGCTTCACTCTGTTTGGATCAGTCGGGGCCACTGCATTCCTGGTCTGAGAACAAGCCAGGAGGATGTGATTATGTTGACTGGCTTGCCCTGTGTCACGGCTTCCCTGAACCATTACTGTGGCTGGAGAGACTTGGCTACCTAGGCATCCAGGGTGCCTGCCCAGAGCCCATAGACTGGGAGGACGGTGTGGCAGATCCTCCATATTGGGGTACTTTATTAAAAAAAAGGATGTGGATACAGGTAGCCAAAGCCCCTCAGAGATCTATTATAAACGTTAATCTAGTAGTTCTCGGGCAGGTGAGGAGTTCAGTAACCTAGAACAATGCTTCCTGAGCTGTGATCCACAGGTGTGCCGGTCGTTGGACTCTTTGTCACCTGTCTGTGAGAAGATTCACTCTAACAGCACTGTAGTTGAGCTGGCATTTTTTTTTTTATAGCAAGCCTTTTGGAAGAGGGTAGCAGTGCATTGGTTTACATTCTCTTGCTTATTTTCTCAAGGACCAATACTTCAAGTGTTATTGACCCAAAGCTACCTTTTCTTTTTAAGAGACAGGGTCTCACTCTGTTGCCCAGGCTGGAGTACAGTGGCAGGATCATAGCTCACTGCAGCTTTGAACTCCTGGCCTCAAGCAATCCCTTGCCTTAGACCTCCCAAGTAGCTGGGGCTGCAGGTGTGTGCCACCCTGGCTAGTTTTTCTTATTTTCTTTAGAGAGGAGGTCTTTTTACTGTTGCCCAAGCTGGCTTCGAACTCTTGCACTCAAGTTATCTTCTGGCCTCGCCTCCTGAGTAGTTGGGACTACAGGCACGTGCCACTGCATCCAGCTCACAGCACAGCCTTCTTTAATAAGCAAAAAGAAGCTGTTGCAATTTAAACTCTTTGAACAAAGAAAAACAACCCCAAACCAAATATACCCAATTAGAGTGGGAGGAGGGCGGAAAGGAGATACTTATTATTGTTTTTTAGTAAAATAACTGAACCCGGCATCTTCCCTTTGTTTTCTGAGCTCTTTGTTTCCACATAGTTGCTTACAAATTCATAGGGGGTATGAGTACATGAGGCACTCGTGCAGTTTGTGTTGGATGGAAAACAGGCATCAACATGCCGGTGCCAAGCTGTCAGTTTAATGAATCCATACGGAATTGAGGGGAAAGTGCTCAGTTAAAATCCGTGGGTGTATTGTTATGCAAAACACTTTCTGGGTAGCTCATTCCCTAAAGGCCTCCTTTTATCTGACAAGGCCTTGAAGTTCTATTTTCCTGATGTGCAGCTCCTGGGGGAAGGCTAAGTTAACTCTGCAAAGGTGTGGGGAAAGCTCTCAGCTAATTTTTCTACCTCAAACTCACAACTGAATATTATACAGAGTTAAAGGAAAAGAGATTATTCTTGTAGCTATCCGTTCAGCAAATATTTATTAGGGACCTACTATGCGTCGGGTGTATATAGACAAATAAGACCTGGTTCCTGACCTTGAGGTACTGAAAGGGATGGAGGATGTAGTGCTGGACACACATCGGACCTTGGGAACAGCCACCATGAAAATTCAGTGCTAAGCATGTGTGGGGCTCTTTCTGTTGCTAATCTTGACGACATGTGAATTGGACTTAGGTACTATAGTCCCTTCTACTCTTTTGGCCCAGCTTTCCTATGCTGAATGCAGTCACAGTTCTGATGGTTGTGATGACAGGAGTGTCAGTCATTGGAGGGACAGTCTGACTTTGCTGGGTCATTGTTACTCTTGTTTTAATTTCCTGGTCTGAAGTCTTCCCGGCTAAGCAGGATTGCCTTGCAGCCTGTGCCAGCAAGCGTTTACATCAGAGGTGCAAATTCATCCAGTAGTGAGCTTGCTGATGAGAGGCCGTCCTGGTGCTGGTGATTGGCTCACCTGCCATGTAGTTTTCCTGCTCAGCAGAGGCAGTTCTCTGTGCATCTGGGTTAAGGCACTGTGGCAGGAATTAGTTTCCCTGCCGAGGTGTTTGATCTGGGTTCTTCCTAACTGCTCGCCATGGTTTCTCTCTTCCATGAGCGCAACGCTGTCTCACGTGTTGGAGGAGGAGATGGGGTGGGGCTTAGTGGTGAGAACGCACATGGTTTATTAAACCCACGTGGAGCAAGTTACTCAGTCAAAAAGCATTACTCGGTCAACCCCTTTGTTGGACTCTAGTATCACAAAGGAACTTGGATCCACAACAGAACAGAAAACACAGGTGTTGGTGTGGAATGGAGAATCTGCCCCTGAAGTTCCCGTTACTGCTGATTAGAGGCAGCTTTCCTGTGTTGTTTTCTTATCACAGATGATCCGAGTCCAACTGCACAGATTATTTTTACAAATGTGGGTTGTTGGCAATACAGTAAACCTTTTCCCAGATTTTCGTCATCTTCTTACTCCATCAAAAAATGTTTCCCACCCAGGTACACCTGAATCCTAGCACTCTGGGAGGCTGAAGCAGGTAGGATGTTTGAACTCAGGAGTTCAAGACCAGGTTAGTGAGAGTGAG